TCCTCGTGGCTGTGATAGACTCGCAAAGTGTTTCCATGCACACGATATGTTTGTGGAGCGGGTTACGGTCCAGTCCAAATACGGCGTGATTGTGTTTGTCTCTGAAGGAGTGTGAGCCGGCTCCGTTGATGAAACATGGCTACCACCCACATGCTTCCCGGTTTTATTCCTTCGGATTTACACTGGATATGGGGTGTGTGGATGGAACTGTGGGTGATGCAGTGCAAGCCACCCATGGTCTCTGTTAGGTGCAGGCGTCCTGTGAAGACCACGGTGACATGCAAATCCGGAACCGGATGCTGCCACCCATGATTAGTTTCGAAAACGTTACGCGCTTTCCGCCAGTGCTGTCCAGTGGGCCGTGTCTCAATAATTGCTCTCATGGAAGGCCACCCGATGGACTCGTTCTTTTCCACATTCAGCACGGTCCTGGACCATCTGGTTGCTGCGCACTTTGTTGACTTGAGGCACAGGGGACTGTGCCTTCACGAAGTAGGAGATAGTGTAACAAAATCGAGACCGAGATGAGCGATTGAAGTTAATACTCCACGACTTTATTTTGACTACTTTTATTGTTGTTCGTTCATAGGTGTCCATTGATTCGCCCTCTTGTATCTTCGTATCGCTCCAATTGACTGTCGTTTATGTACACTCTTGTAGAACGTGGCGAGGTCTGTTACCCTGATAAACGCTTCGTGCTGATCTGGTTGTTCTTATTTTGCACGTCGGAGCGCTAAGTGCACGTGTTTGCTTCGCAAGGTTCGTACTCATCGTGTGAACAGTTTTCAGCTCTGCCCGTTCGTCCGCGACCGGAAACTTTTGTACGGAATAAGTTGGAGCGTTTATGTTCAAATATTGATGAAGTAGAGGGTCTCAGTGATATTGGAACTTGAATGTACAAAATAACTGTCAGCTTAACCCTGCGAAACTGACATATATAAAGCAGATAATGATGAAAAGCTATTCGGCGTAAAAGGCAACGGCCGATTTAAAGGCCTGACATTCCGAAAAGGCATCCAGGGCAGGAAACCAACACGTTGCGACGGGCGTTTGGACAAATGAGCAGCACTGTTCCTCGACATATGCTCAATCTGTATGTTTGCTCCCATATCGAATACGCAATTCAAGCCTGACATCCATGGCTGAAGCACTGTTTCAATGCTTTGGAGCAGCCTTAATGTCGGACACCTATGTAGATAATTGGAATGCGCAACCTTTCATACGAGAAGAGGCAGAAACGGCTGGTGCTACTCAGCGGACGGTATCGCAGATTACGGGAAGACCTGATAATGGCACAATGGCTGTTGCACGATTTACACCAAATGTGCCGCTCCTTACTGCAACTTAACAGCAATACAACACTGAGAGGTTCTTCATTGTAACTCGCAGAACCGTAAAGCCGGCTGGAGTGCTGCAGGCATTTTGTTCCTATTCATGTGTCTCACCAGCCGTCTCTGAATCGACACTACCACAATTTAAAAGCCGGTTGGATGAGTCACCCGTGTACTTAGTCACTTAGCGCTACGTCTTCATCCTATTCTTCGGGTGTACCTTGGATTTATTTGCTGTTGCCTGTGGGTGCTGAGAAACTGCGGGTTTCAGAACTACGGCGTAGCAAAAGACAAGTCCATCTTTTCATAGTTAAGGTACTGATTGTTTCTTTTTTTCCGTGCATTGCCCGTCGCAATCCAAGACACCCGACGGGTGCACCTAAACCCGAAAATCTACTTCTAACCGCTGTGTCAAACACTGCTCGCGGAGCTCAATAGCCAAATGATCATGACGATAGCCGCCAAGCACAATGCGCCGAGTTCCACTTCCAGCTCGACCTGCTTAGTCTAAACAAAGACGAAACCGTCGATCGTGGAGTGCAGGGATGGGAGAGCCAAACCGAAACCCTCCACTTTGGTGGCGGTCCTAGTGACCGTATTGGCAGAGGCTGACTTCAAAGTCAACCGACGCCACGCGGGAGATTGCGCGTCGCAATCCACCCTACGGAAAGCCAGCGCACAAGCAGAGAAGCGTGGTGCAAGAGTGGATCGATCTACAATTGGAGGTCGCACCCGGGTAAAGATCACTACGCGAATCTACGTGGAATCAACGGCAAGTTAGACCATGAACTTGATACGTTTGAGTTGTCTTAATTAATATCAATTAGCATTGCCAATATTGTTGTGTTAATAATTGCATGCAATCTGTTTATTGCGCAATGCACTCACACAATAGAATCAGAATCCAGATCTCTCCGACTGACTGGTCTTCCTGTTTTCCTTTCGTGGCGGATTGAACTGGTTGGGGCGGCGCAGCAAATTTTCAGGTAGGTTATCCGTAAAGTCAGCGGAAACCAAAACGCATTTCTGGCGACGGTCAGCTGCACGGTAGCAGCTGGTTAGCCGAACCTTCAGCGGCACCACAATAATCCAAGACACACGGCGGGTGCTCCAAAACCCGCAAACCCACTTCTAGCCGCTGTGTCAAACACTGCACGCGGAGCTTAATGGCCTCGTGATCATGGCGATAGCCGCCAAGCACTCTGCACTGAGTTCCACTCCCAGCTCGGCTATCTCTACCTGATGAGTCTAAACAAAGACGAAACCGTCGGTCGTGCAGTGCAGGAATGGGAGAGAGCCACACCGAAACCCTCCACTACGGTGACGGTCCCAGTGACCGTATTGAGAGAGGCTGACTTCAAACTCAACCGAGGCCACGCGAGAGATTGCATGTCGCAATCCAAGACACATGGCGGGTGCTCCAACACCTCGAAAATCAACTTCTAACCGCCGTGTCAAACACTGCTGGCGCAGATCAATGGCCTAGTGATCATGGCGATAGCCGCAAAGCACTCTGCGCTGAGTTCCACTCCCAGCTCGGCTATCTCTACCTGATGAGTCTAAACAAAGACGAAATCGTCGGTCGTGGAGTGCGGGGATGGGAGAGAGCCACACCGAGACCCTCTATTAACTGGTTCATTTTTATTAATTCGACATCCCCACAAAACTACTCAAAGGGTTTCGTAAGGCGACGCCTCCTAGCCAGTATTATTTCACTGTTCATTGATGACGTTCTTAGGTTTCGTCACCCTTTTTGGCGTCGTTTTTGAACAGAACAATATCATCAAATTATTTGGTATCAAAATCGCAACCTCTGTCACTATGGTTAATTTGGTACGTGATAAAATGAGTCCAAACTTAGCATTGCAGAGATTGAAGGTTATGGCGTGTGCTGTCAACTATCTCCAATGAGCCTATTCGTCGAAAACTATTCATTATGATTAGGCATCAGCAAAGCAGAGCAAGAGTGTGCTGCAGCTTTTAGTGCGATACTTTCTATGTCCCACTGGCCACTGGTTTCTACAGGTTGATTAGGCGATGATTACTACTCAGGTTTCATAAAACCTGTAGCGAATAGTGCTCGTGTCCTTTTGGATTTGCTTTTGAGGCACTAAGCCCACGATTACTGGCACATGTGATGTCATTTGTTTCGAGCCACTGCTCACCCTGTCTCCAAGAAAACTCAGCCTCACTGAATTTTGAGCCCTTGAGTGAAGTACTAAAGTAACCGCAAAAGTAGAGAGCAAATGATGGATCGCAGTGGCCTGTATGATCCACCTCGTGAGAATGGCGTTGTCATCAATACGGCGAAACGGCCGTCTGGTGCTTTTCCGGATAGCTAGTTGACTTATCTGAATTGTCGGTTGATTGCGACAAACAAAAATACTCACCAAAAACCTTCCAATCATACGTAATACAAATTCGCCCTTACGGATTCCACAAAATGCTATGTCGATTCATAGCTGCCGTAACCGGGAAGTCCTGACACCGGAAGGCTAACCGCTGTCATCTGCATGGCAGGTGCCTGCTTGGCAGTGGAGGATGGGTCGGGCTATATCGCATTTAGCTAACAATTCGTGAGGGTCGGATACCGTCCTCCATGGCGCAGTTGCATAAGCTACGGGCTAGTTGGCAAGAACCCCTAGCAGTAATGGGTTCGATCCTCCGCAGAGGACCAAAGGATGCGCACCACTGATGAGCCCCAATAGCCCCAATCTAAGTACAACGATTGTGTGAAATAAGCTTGGATGCAGCCTGGAGCGGTAAGTGGCGGGTATGGAATCAAGTCACTTGCAATTGCTTTAGCCAGCCCACACGTTAAGTGCCTAGAGTCTCATAAGGATGATGTTAAACTGCGTAATTTTTTCTTAACATCCAGGCAGTGGCTATATCGGTAGCCAGGAAAGTTTCCATGATCCTCTGACACTGTTTATGTCCAACAGCCTTTCGAGAGTGGAGATAAGGTCTGGACAGTGATTAAAAACGGGTTACTCACAAAGTATGGTGTCAGTAAAACCGTATTTCAATTTTGGGCACCGTTCCAAGAGAGGACGTGGTGAAACCAGCAATTGTTTGTGGAACCCACGATGTCAATTGGTACAGCAAGCTTAACTGTAGCTCGTCATTTAATGGGTTGTCTGCGGATATATCGTCTTCATTGCTCTCTCAATAAATGCTTACGGGACGAGAAAGGACAGTAACAATTACAGGTAGAATGCTGGGTTGAAATTCCTGAGACTATGGGTGGACTTGGCAGACAGGTGGGGGTTGCAGCACTATTGTCCATCTGATAAAGCGATTAATCAGCGGAAGAGGTTTTCCAAGCAATCCGACGAAGATAGTCGTTTCGCTGTTAAACAAGAGCTTTTTACCGAATGTAGACAAACGGGGTGAATTGTTTGAATGCAGGTATATTTGGAAAAAGACAGATATGAAAATTCATAAAAATGGATGGGCTAACATGTTTGGTGCCTCTCCATCTAAGTGCATAAGGTGACTCTGAAGTGGACAAAATCAGTGGGTGCGCCCATGTAAAACAACATTGGATGACAGGTCAACGAATACGGATGAATACAACAAGCAAATGCGCAAGGTATACGAAACCTGGTTAATGCTAGTTTAGTACGGGCGTTTACCAACTGTAGTGAGATCATATAAGGTTTGACTTAGTTAATGGAATGCTTTTTTGCGATCGTCAAGTAGAGTCTCAGTGAGTGATGACGCTCTATTATCGGGGGCTCCGTCGAAATCGGACAACTCCTCGTTTGCATCAGATGAATTTTCCACCCCTTCCAACGTATCGATTGGCTCACCGTCATAAATCTGAAAATGAGGAGGAAGACATAATACCAGCCCAAGATTAGTTGTGATGTTTAATGGTCAAGCTCCCAACGAGCTACTACTAATCAGAAATCAACACCGACGGCGAAAGGTAAGACATGGTTACTTGCGAGCTTACTGTAGCGTCCATAACGCGTCCGACCATAGTGGACATCAGCGCAGACTGTAACAGTACTTGAACTGGACTGTTGGTGGAACTAAAACACGCCCCACAAGTGTGTGAAATACGCCTGGTGTGGCAAGTGGCTGGAGTAGAAGCGAATTCTTCGCAACTACTTGAACAAGCTTCATGCTATCAGCCTACACGATATTGGCCATATTCGAACTTACCTGAACCTCCTCTGACAACAAACTCGTTTGGGTAGTGCAAGTTCTACTACACCGGTGATCATGACAGAGAAAAAAGCGTTACAATGAGATAACAGTTTTCTAGTAGCTTCCGTTCACCTCACCGTGGGGTCCGATGACACAAGTTTTCGTAATGAGTGTTGGACCAGATCAAAATATTTACACCCTACTGAACAACCTCTCAAAAGCATCGGTTGTTCTAGGAAAGTCTTTTGCAAAACGCAAATCAAGCCACCGCTCGCATGAAAAGGAAAAGAGTCACAAAACTTACCTTCCGGTCGTAAAAACAAAATTTGTTCTTCATCTCTTCTATCTCCTCCGGATGACTGACAGGGTTCACAATTAGCTGTAATGAGTCGGTGAGAGTGCTGCTGGTTTCGCGACTTTCGTATCCACGATGTTTGCGGCGTTTTGTGGCTGATGTCGTTACTACGTGATCCGCATTAACTGGTTCCCACTCAGGCTCAAGTCCAGATAAACGATGAGAAGATCGGAGTTTTGAGTACACGACAATACTCAACACGGTCAACAGGACCACCACCAATGTGACTGCGAAGATTAGGAGTGGATAACCGAACTGACAAGTAAGAAAACAAAATGGGATCAAAACCTCTACTGGGTCGCTGTGCAGTGGATAATGTAGCGTATTCTTATCGCATATGGCTACTTTTCTCGAATACGGACGCCAAATTGCAGCACAAGTTGTGCGTCTTTCATACGTAAACTGAGTAGACAGGTTTATTTTGTTTTAGCATTTACTTGCCATCTCACGAAGAAAGATATACAATAAAAACGGTCTCAACGAAGAGTGTAAATTGTTAACCTACCGACTGACCAGAATCTGATGAACTAGCTTTTGGGGGTACATCAGTCGAGTATAATGAGGGTCCCAGATCTCGGAGTACCCGAAACGCTTGCGGACGCTTGGCGATCGGTTTGTATGTTGACTCAGACACAAAGAAAATGGTTCGACCCTTGTAATCAGGATCTGAAGTCATTGGCGTCGAATGCACGGACGTAAAGTGCCGGATACGAACCTGAAGGTAAAGCGAAACAAAGATGCGGCGGACACGTAAAGAGTTAGTTGCATGTATGAACGCGTCATATCAAAAATGTGTCTTGGCCATTCGTAACACGAAGCATCGTTTGCATGCACTTACCACGGAGCGCACTGGATTGCTTTTCACCCTTAATTGGGCCACTGAACCGTCAGAGTGGATGGTCTCCAGCTCAGCCACACAGTGGAGTTGGAAACATCGTCCACCCATACCAGCCGGGTGAAAATTGTACCACTGAATGTGTTGCAGGGCCGTTCTCATGTAGTCCACTTTAGCCGGACCAGAAAGTCTGTACCCTCGATTTACCTTTTCGAATCGCAAGCCATGACGTAGGAAATCTGTACTGATATTAAGTTCTTCATGTTGCTGGAGTAGCAGGTACCCCGCTTTTTCACACAAGTCCACTTCACAAAAGGAGGCATAATCACCTGTAAGATGTGAGAAAGGTGTTAAGTGCATGCAAGTTAGGAAGTAAACGGTCATTTGATTGATTCATATTGACCGAAATAGAATTTCTCATGAGGCCGGTGGCACAAAGGAAAGTTTATGGATCTGCATCAGTTAGTCCATAATGCGATTCGCCTCATGAAAATGTCCTTGCCGTTTTAATGCGATGCCCCGTCATTGTCATACCGAAACTGATTATCGTAAGAATGATAAGGTGGGAGTCGGAATGCAAACTATGCCAAGGCTGTGGAAAAGACCGATGACCCAGTGTTTACAACACAGAGGGGACTTAGAACGTCATGTTCATGACGCATGGTTCCTGCGTAGATAACAGAACAAATGAATCACCTGGGAACAATAAAACTACATAGTGCTTTATTACGATTGGCAAAGCCAATACATGTCCGCAATCGCTTGCGATTCTTCCGTTAAGTGCACTGATTCGCAGCGTGAACCCTAAAACCGAAGTTGCAAAACAGCAGCGATCGTGCTGAGGAAAGATAGTCGCCGATTCAATCAAAGACTTAATTTCAAATTATATCACTGGCATCTAACTGTCTTATTGTTTTGATTCGTCAAAACATTCGCTTTAAATCTGACTATACCTATGTTCTAGCATAGCGATATACCCTACTCTTCAGGATCCTTCATTTGGTAAGTGAAATTGACTCAAAGAACTTACAGCCATCCTTGTATTAGGGGGAGAAATAGATCAGTGCGCTGTCCTTCGCGTGGCCGAATCCTAGCTCATAATGGAATTTGAAATGTGCACACGAAACACGCTTCACAAGGATCCAAACTGTGGTCACAAATAAATGTGTTAACAAAACGAAGCTTATATCAGTGAATTCATCAGTGATATACACAGACACAGACGTAAGTTCACCCTGCTCGGTTGTATTAGAGGACAGAAAGTTTCTCCGTGACCACTGATTAAATATCGTGATAGCAGTGGTTAAATAGCACAACCTTTTATTCTTAAAATGACGGTACCGTGCGCGAAAAGAAGATATTGATCGCATGATTGTTCTGCGTGGGACATAGTCATAAAGTGTAAAATATCCTAGACATTTCGATCGGCCGTCAGCTACAGTTGATAGTCCATCAGCTCGAAGCTGTGGTCACGTTTTCGGGAGTAATTATGAACGTGATTGAGATTCTTGATGCTACGGAACTTGGTGATTATTCTACTTGATTTGCCCCCCCTTTGGCGCCACAGTAATGGGCAGGGAGCAGGGCCCGGTGTAAACCAGGAGTTAACACATGCTAATTACTTAAAGAACAGAAACAGGACGACTTGCCGGTTTCAGCTGTAAGGGGCAGCAACTTATGCCCTCGTCACCTGAGATGATGAGAGTCACTTGAAGACTCAGGGTCATTGCGTTACGATCGAAATTGGACAAAGCGCCTAATGGGCTAGCTACGGCAAACTTTCTCGGTTTGATGACATCGAACGCCCCCTATAGCAGGGATATAGCATCTTCTATGAATACAGGTGGGAAGATATCTCGAGCAGGAGACTTGTTTTACTTTGATTGTCCTTGTCTTAGAACCCTGCTAGTGCCCCACTTGTATCATCGCGTTAAAACATTCCACGTCCTTGAGATACTTCAACCCATTGCCAAGTCGCCGATATTCACTAAATCCTAACGATAGCAAAGTCAACGAATATTATCTTGAACAAACTTCCATTGCATTGACGGTAGAGGATAGTGAAGACGACTCTGTTCGTAGTCAATCGTTGGAAGACGGGACGGAAGCAGGGGCTAGCATGCTAATGGTACTTATGCAGCAAAATTTCACCAACCGAGCTTGTGTGCTCCTAACCCTGATGTACTCCGCTGAATGACGATGCTTTCCTTCATCTCCACCGCCGGGTGTTACAGCACAAAAGACGACATCGTCTACCACGCTGATTCCACATCTGCCATTATTCCTTTTTCGGATAGAAGGGGCTTGCAAGCCATTCTTCTTTTAGATACAGCTTGTATACGCTACAAAGTTTATTGGAACGGCATATCTAGTCAGTATACACGGTCCCAAAAATCGCCAGGAATTTTGTTCTTACGAATATCATAGTCAGACGGACTGAGTTTGCGGCGATCCAGGAAGTTGAGTGGTCCCAAAGTCACGCACCATGAGTGTGGCTGTAGAGATGACCTGCTTAGTAAGCAAAATAGTACCTGATGATCAATAAGACCGTGAAATAAAACTTTGAATAATAAACAATGATATACCACGGGTAAAAAAGCAGTTGCTTGCAAAGTTCCGCAGGAAGGTGGGGGTAAAACAACGATAAAAAATATATGTGACTTATCTGTCTGAGCGTTTATAGAGCAGATGCGCCCCTGAATAACAGTAGTACAAGTGAGAATAGAATGAAACTAACAAGACCAGATGGAGGTAATTAGCTGATGTACTCCGTGAGAAAATGGAAAACAAGGATACTCACACGTGTATCGCCACCTTAGGTTTATGTGACATATAATCTGTTAGAAGGCATTGTTAATCTATTCCAAAGGCAACGAAGGGATGGGGGCCAGGGACAAGATGAAATCGGTTTTTGAAAATATCCGGCGTGTGGGAGGAAACAAATGAGTTTGGGAGAGAGTTTCAGGGTTGGCAAACCCGAATGGAAAATGATTCCGCCGGCATTCCGGAAGGCTATACTGTTCACTCAGTTTCAGACAGTTACCTCTGAGGTGGATGTTATGACTGAGTTTTAGCAAGTGACGGCATGCGTGATTAGGCTCGTCCATATTTTGTATACTCGGATGAGATCGCCGCGCAGCCTTCGGTAGTGATCACTGAAAAGTTCCAGTGAATTCAGTATTTGCTGGTAGGACGGATTACTTCGTAACCCTACGTTGTGGCTTCTCTAGCACCTCCTGGTCGCGCTTCAACCTGGGTTGCCAAGTTTGGATGGCGCATTCAACGTGAAGGCGTACGCAAGAATTGTGCATCATGGGGAAGATTGCTGGGTCAAAACTCCTGAATGCCCTTCGCAGCTGGCCGATGTGCTAGTTCCCTCTTTGAAGGGGTTATATTTACTTTGAATGAGCACACCAAGGTCGTGTTCCTGGGAAGTGGTTTGCAATATGTGTAGCCCAAGCCAATACACGTAGTCATGCCTATGGCGTAATTGAATAGCGCGACATTTTTCCACATTGAATGGTAGGATATTTTGAACTGACCGATTCGGAATCGTGTTGAGGTCACACTGGAACACTTTGTGGTCGGCCGATTCCCTGATCTTTCGCCATATCTTGATATACCGTATATCACCGAATATAAGCCCGCCCCTAGATAAGCCGACAGTATAACTTGCATCATTAAATTTGTCTAAAGTCGTATGTCCCTGTATTGGCCGACCACTTAAAAATCAACAGAGGAGAAAGGAAATTGTTTCTCCACGATTTTGACTTTTATTCCTAGCTGCTCTCACTTGAGTGTGTTCAAGCGAAACATGCTCTACTATTGGTTAGTTGTGGTGACCGTAATGTTACAACCGCGGTGAATGAGGTGTAGGACCGTCAGAACAGACTTTCACCGCACCGGACAATGAATTGACCGGACAAGTCACATAAAACAGGTAAGACTGCCGACGATATAGGGTAAGATGACATGGTGTCATGCATTTGAACCATAGTAGGGCAATTGGTGAGAGCGAATTTCACGGTCAGGGGTGTGGGACAACCGAGTACCTTGAACGCACCAGACCGCCTGGCACAGCATAATGTTTAAGGGCTTTGATTCGCTACTGCCATCCGTCACGAAAGCCAAATGTGTAATATACCGAGAATTTTCGATACAACGGCAGTGTTTATTTATAGGTACTTCAAATCCCCGTTTGGAATACAATCAGTAACTAGCGGATGGTGCTGAGGGGAGACAAAGGTAGTGGTGGAAAATGAATTCCTAAGTGAATTTGGCATGTTACATTTTTCAAATTCCGTATAGCCTTTTCATTAGCCAACCCCCCAATATAGAAACGAAAAACTGTCCAAAATTTAGCGGCTTACATTTGGTAATCTACAGTAATCCGCGAATAATAGGAAATCGAAAGTACTTGCCCTCGGTGGATCGTTTATGAAAAGCAAAAATAGGCGAGGCCTTAGTACCGAGCCTCGAACAATGAACAATGATTTATGCCGGGTAAAATAGCAGTTGCATGACAAGTCCCGCAGGATGGTGGGGGCAAAAGTACAATTATCAAAAGATAGGTGAGTTGTCTGTTTGAGCGTTTATCTAGCAGTTACGCTGCTGAGTAATAGTAGTGTAGGTGGGAATTGAATGCGAACGACGAGGCAAAATGGGGACAGTTATGGTTGTTGTACTCCGTAAGAAAAGTAGAAACGAGAATACTCACTTCTGTACCGCATCCTCAGGTTTATGTAACATGTTAATCTGGTTTGGAGGGATAATTAATATATTCCAAAGTTGCACAGTTTAGGCAACGAAATGCTGGGGGCCAAGGGCAAGATCCAATCGCTATTTGAAAATATCCAAGGTGGGAGAGGAAACAACGAATTTTGGGAGAGTTCCAGGGTTGGCCAACCCGAAAAGAAAATTGATTCCGCCAGCATTCCTGGCGGCTATACTTTGCACACCATTTCAATGTGTTAATTCTGAGCTTGGTGTTATGGCTGAGTTTCAGCAAGTGACGGCGTACGAGATTAGGGTCACACAGGATTTGGTAGACTAATATGAGATGGCCGCGCAGCCTTCAATAGCGACCACTGAAAACTCCGTGACTTTAGCCTTTGATGGTAGGACAGATTTCTTAGGCCCTTGAAGTTCTTTGTGGCCCTGCGTTGGGGTCGCTCTAGCACTTCTAGGTCGCGCTTCAACCAGGGTTGCCAAGCTTGGATGGTGTATTCAACGTGAGGACGCATGTAGGAATTGTGCATCATGGGAAGATGGATGTGTCGAATCTTCTGAATGCTCTCCGCAGTAAACCTACGTGCTGGTTGGCTCTCTTCGCAGCTGCCTCTGACTGCTTTAAACAGTTAAAGTCACTTTGAATGAGCACACCA